AGTACTAGATTTATCACAATCTTCTGGCTAGTTATTAGTCCTTGCCAAATTTTTTCATACAAAAACTGAATCCAGCTCATCATTACAATTTATCGCTGTATCTGTCATTATACTTGTTGTGTCGCTTTTAAAAGTACTATCAACTATACACGATTGTTGAGACGCTGAAAATGTATTCCCTCCTTGGTATCCTTTCAAAATTTTATCTAGCGAAGGTTCTTCAATCTGCGAATGCATCGAAAATTTGTGGGTAAATTTAAATATACTTTTTCACGCTAAAAATTAAAATTAAATAAATACATCGATTGGATCGTATTTCCTGCGTTGACGTTTGTAACAACGATCATAACCATCTTCTGCCTCTAAGGATCTCGTAGTCTTCTCTCGTACATAATTTCCTACCATCTTTGAGTTTTCGTCTATGATTAAGTCGTTTCTTTGTAATTGATTATCAGTTGGAGACTGTCCAGAAAATTGAAGAGAAAATGAAGATTCATTTGATTTCAACTTTGCCTTTTTGGACTATGCCAATAATAAGAAAAACATTAATTAATTGTAATTATGTTATATAAATTCAGAGCTTCAGCGATAGAAATTAGTATTATTTTACTTTTTTACGTCCTACTGGAGTAAACTCAAGTTCATCCTCCTCTGATCCATTACTAAAATACATACAAAAGAATTTACTATCAAATTTGCAAATTATAAACATATATATAAAGTAAGCCTTACGAAGGAATATATTCGGACGAAGAATCTAATTGCGCAGTCGGTGTATATTCGGACGAGGAATTTAACCGCGTAGCATGGTCGCCTAATTTCAAGTCAACTGTTGGACTATATCCCACCGGGAGCAAAGATAAAAGATTCTGCCGGTGTATTTCATTTGTTGCATTGATTGCATCCACAACCCCGTCAGTTGTCGCTCTAGCAAGCTGTAATCTCCCTTCATTCTTGTATTAGAGGCATATATTAGTTTCCGCAAACTACACAATGAAATAATATATTCACTTACCCGCGCGGTATCCAGTTCCCTTTCGTGGTCAATATCTTTCCAAAAGACGGCAACATCTGGATCGGACATTTGATTCTAATGAAACAGTAATATACATAGCGTAACATGACTTGATGCACCAACAGCAAATGCAATCTTCCACGACGAGCTAGAAAGATCGTCAATAGAGCAGCTAAAAAGGTGCTCTGCCTAGTCGTGGGTTTTGATTCGCTAACAGAGCTAAAAGGTCCATCAACGGAGCAGCTGGAAAGGTGCTCGAGATTTATTCCACCACAACGAGCTAGAAAGGTCGTCAACAGAGCAGCTAAAAGGTGCTCTGCCTAGTTGTGGTGGAAACCTAAGCTAATGCGCATACCTTCAGAGTATTAAGCAACTTCTCGGCCCGTTTTACCTGTTTTATACTATATTTTTTCTCCGAGTTCTCTTTAATGACATTCAGACTTTTCTTCAACCAGGAGTTCTCGTTACGAAAAATTCCTCTAAAGTCGCGCTGTTGTTTTCTAAACTTATAATATCCGTAAATGGACCAGCTCTCAGGCGGTGCGTTAAAGTATGTGAGATTTGTAATCATTGGGTTCCTACTGTTTGGATTATTATTTTGTATCCTGCAATTGTGATTCTAAAATTTGCATTATATACGTATTGTTAAAGGTATGAGTCGAAAAATCATATTCAGCATTTTTGTCGCCTAATTGATTAGCAAAACTCGTGACGCGATTAGATGTGATACGATATCACTACCTTACGTGTCAAAGATTATATAAAATTCTAATTTTATTATTAATTAATTTTTATTTATTTAATATAAAAATAATAATATCAATTATATTAATTTAAAAAAATCAAAAAAACTTTTTTCATATATATATATTTATTTATAAAAATTACTTTTTTAAAAAATTTCTCTTTTTAAAAATTTTTGTCTAATGAAATATATTTTTTTAAAAAGAAAACCATAAATCAAAAAACTATTGTTAAATAAAAATATTTTAATAATAATATTTATAAAAATTTTTAATATTTGCAAAAATATTTAACAATAATTTGAAAAAACAAGTTTCATATCAAGATTATTTTTTTATATTATTTATATAAAAAAAATATATACAGTATATTAACTTATATATAATTTAAATAATTAATTTAAAAGATAATATTTATTTAAACAAAATATTTTTAATTATAAGAAAACTATAAAAAATATTAATTAAATACAAAACAATTATTCAAAAAGATAAACCTATTTTCAAAGTTTACTTGCTACTAATTTCTTGTTTAATATTTTTTTTCTTTTCAAAATAAACAAAAAAACTTCATATTTGAAAAAAAAAAATACAAGTAATACAATTTATTTTATTTTATTTTTTTTTTTGAAGGAGCAAATGGCTACCATGCTATCATTTATTATTATAATTTTACACTTGCGGGTT